CCCAGTAGATAGTTGTATGTCATAGTTGCACATCCTTCTAGTTGCCGTATGTGGGACGCAGCCTCAGCATGGCTGGAGAAGCGGTGCGACGGTGCGCGCCCAGGATCTGAACCCGGGCCGCCAGTAGCGGAGCACGCGCACTTAACCGCTAAGCCACAGGGCCGGCTCTCAAATTAGTTTAAAGAAAGGGGAGTGGGACTTATTGGCTTAGGGTCTTTGGGCGCTGCCAGGTGCAAGCATTTAAATGATGTCTCAGGCTTAGTCTCTCTCTCATGGCTCTGTCATATGTGTTGGCTCCATTCTTGGGCAGGCTTTGCCCACATGGTGGGAAAGATGGTCACCAACACCTCCAGCTTTACTTGGTGTTGCTCAAGATGGCAGAGAAAGAGGGAGCCTTTCCCCCAGCACCCTTAGCACAATTTTAAGGACAGTTGTGATATGACCAGTTTGGTCACGTGGCCATCCCTGAAATCAATTGTGTCGTCAGGAGGATGGGGGACTTTGGCCAGGTCTGAGCCTTGAGGTTGGGCGGGGTAGGGTATGGAGTCAGTTCTACCCAAACCACAGGAAAGAGGGTTCTGTTACTAGACAAAGGGTCAAGGGATGCTTCTCAGGCACCAAAGCAAAAAAATCTGTCTTTTATAACCCATAGACTAATGTTTTAGGCATGGTGCAGACCATAAAGGTAGCTAGGCCTTAGCCTTTTCTAATTTCCTCTTTGGGGCAGTCTGCCAGGCTGTGTCCATTATGGAGGCCAAGCTGCTAGTTGTCACACTGGAGCGTTTACCTTGTGCTCTGCTGACAACATAGAGAGGAGAGTTTGGATGGGATGGGGGTGGAGAACAGTCAGATCTGACCAGCTTCAGAGATGCCCTCCCACCGCCCCCCCCGGAGAAGTAGGACTTCCTAGCACAGCTAATGTGGGTTTCCTGGCAGTTCTTGCGGTATGGGTAATCATAGGGTCGCTGGACTGGAGGGTTGGGAACTCCCTGTCAGGACCAACTGTGATTAAGCCTGGTGTTCTGCAAAGTCGTCCCTCCCCTCCATTCCCTATTCACGAGGCTCTTCTCCCTGCTCCCTGAAGTTACACCATTAGAGTTTCATTTCTTTTGCCTCCCTTGCATGTCCTGAGAGTGGCAATGGTGTAAGGAAAAGAGACTGAAGGCCAGGTTTGAGCCCAAATCGTGGCTGTACTAGGGGAGGCTTCTGGAAGCTCACTTCCTTCTTTCCCCTCTCCATTAGTGACTTCTAAGTGTCCTGAATCCCCGAATCTGTGATTCTCTAGTTCAGCAAGAAAGTGGAAGGTACAAGCCAGGCAACCAGGGAGAGATGGGAGGCAGTCTTGGGTGGTGCTCCTTAGTCGTCAGTGTGTAGTGAAGAATCATCTGGGGAGTGTGTGTAAAATACAGATTCTGGGCCCTGCTGCTCTGAAATAATGATGTGGTGGGTCTGAGGTCAGGCCCAGGAGGCTGTGTTTTATCACGTACTGAAGTGGTTAGGACGCAGACCTCACTTTAAGAGCCTGCCTAAGAAGCTTCAAGGATTTGGTGTGCCTGTCAGTGAGGCATATAGAAGAAGGAACCAAACTTCAGCCACACCACCCTGCCTAGCTCTGAGTGGCCTCAGCAAGTGACTTCACGTCTCAGGGTCTCCATTTCCTGCCTGCAGCGTAGGGAGGACAATGTTAGCATCTACCTCCCAGGGTGCTTGTGAGATTCAATGAAATGAGTCTGGAACAATGCCTGGCACATGGAGCATCAGCAGGGGTGGAGGGAAATCTGGCAAAACTGTAAAAAGTCAGGGTCAAGGTCTGTCGAAAGCTTTCATAGCAGAGTGGCAAAAGTGGACCTGTTTTAGACAAAGACTGAGCCGCGGTGACTCTGAGAGTGCAGTGTCATGGTTTGATCTGTCTGAAGATCTTTTTATCACCCTTGAATGTGATTTCCTGTTGTGAAAGAAAAAGATTGCTGCTTAGCAACCTGATACTACAGCACCTGCACTATTGGGTTTCTCCTCGAATTTGAGTTTTACAAAACCTTAATTAAAATGGTGAAGAGTTTCTAGGTAACACAACTGTGATTTTGTGCACAAATTCTGTGCATATAATTTCTTATCTCCAGAGAAATACATTGTCTTATATGTAATGAACCATGTCCAGAAGTTTAAAAACTTCCTCCAACATTTGCATTCAATAATATTAACAATTTAATGTCTGCTATATAGAAGAAGTAAGGAACAGAGAAGGACTACTTAAACACTGAGGAAAAAAAAA